GCCAATTCATCAATTTCACATATTTCTCATCATCTCATATCACAAACATATACACAATGCGACTCAATGTAAGACTCAAATGCAACTCATGTATGTGGTACCAAACACTTGTTATTATTTTTCGGTTTCTATATTAAATTGGGTATGTTCCCTAGACCAATAACACACAAATAAGTCATTTCCTAAGCTTTTCAAACCCAACTCTAGGTTTGGGACAAGCCACTAGCTCCCACAGAACTAACAAGCATTGTCTCTTGACACAAATGCAGCGTGTGCAAATTCAACAATCATGCAATTAAGATCATTCCTTAATCTTAACATTCATGCATATCTTCAATAATTCATCACACTTGAACTACCACACATTTGTACATGCACAAGTATCAACACAATTCAACCTCAATCCACAAAACACACATCACCAATTAAACATAGAATAATTAATCTATCATTAATAATTAAAAATTTAATATTTAATAAATATTCAACATTCAATAATATTCAATATTTTAGTAAATGATCAATATTTTAATAAATATGCAAGAAATATTAAATATTAAATAAACATTTAATATTTTAAACAAATATTCAATTTTTAACTAAATATTCACTATTTAATATATATTCAGTATATTAATAAAATTATAATATTTAATAAAGTTTCAACATTTAAGAAACGTTCAATTTGATAACTTATGCATGTCACTACATTATGTGTACTAAAGAGGTATTCACTTTTAATTGTTAGAAAAGAAATGGCTAGAGCATAAAACATAAGTCACAGTTATTTTCCTAATTGCCTTGTGCTACATCACCAATATATATAAAAGAATTACTTTTGTTTCTACCAAATTTCCTTGTTCCCTATTGCCTAGTTATGCACTAGAGTAACACGAGATGGGAAGAGAAAAGACCACCTTGCTTTATATAAATACTTGCGCTACTGTAACAATAGTGTGAATTAAAAAAAAAAATTTCATTTTCTATCACTTGCTACAGGATTATGAGAGGAAAAAAAATACATTTTTATTTCTTAATTCTCATTATTTTTGTTCGCTATTGCATGTGAGACTAAAAAAGTCTTATGGTTTTTTTTTCTATCATACTTATTTGCTTATGCTACATTATCGTCATAAAAAAAAATAGCGTGAAAAATAAAAATTACATTTCATTTATATTCTGGTTTAATGCTACATGACAAATATGAGAAAAATAATCACTTCATTCTCTTAATTACCTACGCTACATTAGCATATGGAAACGGAGTGCCACAACAAATTTGTCTTGTGCTACAGTAAATGAAAAGTTTTCCACATTCCTATAATTTTCTTGTTTATATATATATATATATATATATATATATATATATATATATATATATATATATATATATATATATATATATATATATATATATATATATATATATATATATATATATATATATATATATATATATATATATATATATATATATATATATATATATATATATATATATATATATATATATATATATTAATTTCAATTTCAATGGATTTACTCTAAATATTGAATGGATCTCTATAATATAAAAACATATCAAAGATTATCACTAAAACCTAACAATATCAAATTCATGAAAAATTTAAGGATTTTATCCTAAACATGTTTCTAGCCATTATACACTATCAAACAACCTCAATAATTATGTAAAAACCCACTCTTACCTTGATTTTTTTTGAATTTTTTAGATTTTTCTCTTAATTACTCTTCTCTTCTCCTCTTTCTCTCCTTAGCCTCCTTTTTAACTTCTATCTTCTAACCCTATTATATCTCTTTTTCTTATTTTTTCATTCTCACAATTTTCTCATAATTCTATTGGGTTTACTAACCTACTTTCTCACTTTCTATTCACACTCCCAACCTAAGCTCATTTACTAATTCTACCAATTCTGTATTTTATTCTACCAATTAAAATAAATAAATTAATTCAACTAAATCAAATAAATCAATTAATTCATATAAATCAAATAAATTAATTATTTCAAATAAATCAATTAATTCAAATAAATTAAATAATTAATATAAATTAAATAAATCAATTAATTCATATAAATCAAATATATTAATTATTTTAAATAAATCAAATATGCATAAAATCACTCAATTAATTAATAAAAATAAATAACTACTAAAATTGGGGTGTTACAAAATACATTCAATTCAAAAATTACTCGAGCCTCTAAGTTATTTTTCAAGAATAATTTAATTTTTCAGATTACTATCATCTAAATCAATTTGAATAGTTGTATATGTCTATTGACGGGTAAGGAAAAACAAGTAATCCACATATTTTATAATAAACGCGTATATTTACAACCACAGTTGGAATATATAACCGCGGTGAAATGTTAATTTTATCCATGCGTTAGTTAAATTTATGGTGTTGGGTTTCGAACCCATGACCTATCTATATCACAACAGTTATTTAATATAATCGTTATGATATGTAGCGCTCTATCTAATTTATCATAAAGGTTAGACGCCAATGGTGGAAAAGTGCATACTTACAATCACACCTTACTTCACAACAGTTGGTCAACCGTGATGTTATCCATTTTCCAATCATTGTGAGAGGATTTTACTATTATAAAATAGACCTTTTATAACACCAATTTTACAACGGTCTTCCTGTTAAATGTGGTAAGCCTAGACGCCTTTTTTATGTATTTACTAAAAGTTATTTCACTACAGTCATATTCAACAACCATAGTAAAATGTACCTAGAGTGAAATGGTTTGAATCTCAGCAGTAGCGATTTTCCGTTTATCGTATCATAAAGAGCTTGACATTGTATATTACCATGGTTCATATAAACAATTGTGGTGTAAGGCTAAATTATTTCATCACAATTTGTATTATCATTTGTGGTGTATGGTGTTACTTATTTATATAAGCAAAATTATCTCTCGCGTCAGTACATAACAACCGTGTCTCTCAAAACATAACTCTAACATATATTTAACCCATCTCTCTAAAAAAATCATAACATCTCTGTCACTCGTCTCTTTGATATGGAAACTCCAAACTTTTGCAGCAAACTCATCCTCTTCAAATGGTTACCATTGTTGCATCAAATCATAGCAAATGACTACCTTATAGGTCCGTCTTCACAATAGATTTTGTATCAAAACACGTTTATGTTTCAATAGCTTGTTTCATAATATTTGAACTTTCTGATTTTTTTACTTGTAAGTAGGGATCACTGTTTAAATAACGAGGATAATGCTAAACTGATTGTTGCAAACTTTTGTGAAACACTCAGAATGACATCCATTCAAAATAAACATAAGTTTGCAGCTCTCATTTCAACTTCATTATCCTTTCATTATGGATGTCATAATGGGAGGCACGTACCTTTCTGAAACATTCTATGAGTTGATATGTTGTTTTTTATTAATAAAAGTGTTATGTTCTATGTAGTTTGTACTATGTGTTGATGATTTTGTTGATAAAAAATTATAATATGATAGATAAAGTTATATTAGAATACAAGTACACTACAATTCTAGACAATAATTTTTCAACCCGTTATCTGCATTTCGTTCTTTAATAGTTAGAATTTTATTTAATGATTGTAATTCTTCAACCGTCTCTTTCTCCACCTCTAATTTTTTTTTCAAATTAAATAATCTTTTGCAAAATGAACTAGAGGTGAAGGAATGGGAGGTTGAAGAATTATGATCATTAAACAAAATTCTAACTGTTAAAGAGTAAACGCGTATAAGAAGTTGAAGAACTCTTGTCTAGTATTGAAAATGAAATTGTTCTTCTAATATAATTTAATTTATCATATTATAATGTTCTAGATCATATTGAAAGGTTACATGTTTAGTGAGGATTTGCAAAATCAACATTCCACATAATTTATAATAAACTCGGTGTATATATTACAACAGTTGTTTATACCAACCGTTATTAAATGTTATGTGTTAAGAATATCTCAATAATTATTTAAAGTAACTGTTGTGATAGGTAGCGCGCTACATAACTTATAATCACAATCACACAACCGTCGTGGAAAACATCATATATATATATATATATATATATATATATATATATATATATATATATATATATATATATATATATATATATATATATATATATATATATATATATAACCACCCATTACCTCATAACGGTTAGTTAGGAGTGGTGGTATCCTTTTCCAACCATTGTAAAATAACTTTTATATGAAAGTGGTTTTCTCTAATAGTATAAGATGTACTGACCTTAACCTACAGTTAGAACTCTACCATACTCTTGGCTGTCGTCTCCGACCATGCTTCCACCGCCCTTGTTAATCGAAACCTTAAAACTGTTAAAATAATTAAGTTTCTAAGCCATACTCCCATAATATTATATTTATATATATTTTTCTTAAATAATCTTTTCATCCTTATATCTATTTATATCTTTTTGTTAAATAATCTTTTCGTCCTTATATCTTTTTTTAAATAATTTTTAAATATTAAAATCTTTTCGATTTTATTTCTTAAAGATAAAATTCGTAAGAAATTTTATCAGAAAATATGCAGAAAATTTGTAGATATTTTTACAAATTTTAATTTTAAAAGTTAAAATCAAATAAAATTCCGCATTTAAAAATTTTATCTAAAAATATACTAAGTCGAAAAACACGCTAACTTAAATATATATCATTTAAACTCTAAATTGATATCATAATTACCAACTCTCTAATTGATATTAACAATTACAACTTGAATGCCAACATAAAAATCAATTCTTTTCTTTTTCTTCTTGGTCCTATCTAATTCATAGTATGTGCTTAGCTGAGGTGATGATGAGGAGTCTGTAAAAAGAAAGTGGGTTCACGCCATCTATATAAACAACCTTTAGTCTTATTCTTATTCATAGCGCATGCACTTCAAACACATTGGTTCCTTAAAACATTTTATGCTTCCTACACTTTTTACTCCATCATATACATCATGAACCTTGAAATTTGCAACCGTCTAAGCACAAGAAACAACAGTATTTGCACGAATTATGAAAGAATTAGCAATGACCCTATTGTGTGTGTCAATGGATTAATTCCTAGATCAATGAAGATTACAAAGTTGAAGTCATTGTGGAGGAAGATCAATAGAGAAAAGAAGAGAAGAATATTTAGATCATCTTCACATGTGTTTCTATATGATCCTAGCTCTTACATACAGAATTTTGATGATGGTTATATCAGTGATTCTGATAATTTTTCATTGTTATTCTCAGCTCGATTCACGCCATCCAGGATTCTCGAGAAGGATATTGAAGTGATTGATGATGAAGAAATATTTTATATAAACAATGACAGCTAGGTAGAATATGACCATGATGTAATTTTGAGTTCTTTCATTTCTACACATTTTTTTCATTTTTCTATGTGAGGATTATGATGTAATTGTATAAAGGTTAAGTTATCTTGTTAATCTATTTTGATGTATGTAGCACTGATATCTCCAAAAAAATAATCTGTATTCATGTCGATATCGGACACTTGCACCGACATTTATTATGATTATCTTTTAAAAATTTTATCAACATCGTCATGACTGTATCGAAATCGTATTCTGGATGTCCGCTTCATAGATTTTGACTACTAGACATTATAAAAATGGTATTCTATCAACATGATATTTCCCTTTCTTTTTTCTTTTTTCTCTTTTCTTCTTTTTCACTTTTTGCTATGAGGTTATTCCATTGGTATAATTTGGAACTTTGACTCATTTTCTAAACTTTTGAGTCAGGATTATAACAATCCAAACGTATAAAATTCACTTTTGATCTTTGGGACCATATATTATCTAAGAAAAGAAGCAAAAAAAAGACTATGTGCTATGCTAATGAAAATGATGCTATTGAAAGTGAGTATGCTATCCAAATCTAGTGCTATTCAAATCCTCATCCACCTCACTCAATTTATTTCCTCTATTCTTTTTTCCATCTATCTCAGCTATTCAATGTAAGAAAGTGATATAGAGAAAAAGATGGCAAAATTTGGAATAGTAAAAAGCTATAGCCTTGCATCCTAATTCATTAGCCTAATGCCCGTCCTTGAGCTATCAAACCTTTCTATACTCTCTGGATAATGTTTTAGGTTTTAAATTGCGATTGATGCAGTAACTGCAGTTGCGTATATTACAGCTGTTACGTTGTGGATTGCAGTTGTTGTGGCGTAAATTTATTTTTTATCAAAATAAAATAATATACTTTATTATATGTATTAAGTTTCACATGTCTTCTATTCTTGTAGGCTTTTGCTGTTTGATACCGACAAATACGATTGTTGCGGTTTTATGATGCAGTCATTGTGACGTTATGATACAGTTTTTAGCGTGATATATAATCACACCGCAATTGCGGTTTAATGCGGATGCAGATACTACTACAACCGCGATATTGCGGCCGCATCAAGTGATGCAGTTCACAATTTAAAACCATAACATTTCAGTAAAGACTAATCTTTCGAATAAGATACACTTACATAATATTTTTATTTATTAAATTAAATCGTCTCTTTTGATATAAATTGAATAATATTTAGTATGTTATTACATAGAGCAATCTCTCAAATAAGTAGACAACAAAAAATCAGTAAAACTTTCAATCTAAGGGATTTAACTTTGATGTATTTTTTGTGTTCAAAATTAAACTTTCGTTCTAATGTATTCAGTTAGGTAAGGAGTTTCCAAATAAGAGACAAACATAACTTTGTCCTTCCTCCATCATTAATTCAATACTATATGCTATTTAGACTAAAGTTACTTTTCAGAGAGACAAAAACTTACATGTCTGTACTATATATCCACCATGCCTCTAAGTGATACACTTACACTCGTAAAAAGTTGCAATAAATAAATATACACAACCGAACATATAGTTGCTCAAATAAATTCAATTGAAAATTTATTGTATAGGCTGATTGATAGGAACATATCTACCAAAAATTACAAAATTATTAATGGCTCTAAGGAAGGATACGGAAATAAAGTTTTTTATATTTAAAAAAGTATGTGGAAATATTAGAATCTTAAATAGAAATTTGATAGGTTGACAAATTATTTAAGAAAGAAATAATTTTGTATTTTTGCTTGATTCAAAAGTGTAGAATTACATTTTTATTTATATTACTCTAAAGAGAACTCTAGACACACTAATTCTAAAAAATTCTCAACTCTAAAAAATCTAAGAGCATTCTAGAAAGTATTATAATCCTAAAAAATATCTAGACATTTCAAACTAGGGCCAGCAAAATGGGTCGGACCAATCGGGCCGGCCCAAAAGCCCGCCAAAAAATCCGGGCTTGAACAAAAAAATAAGGCCCATTTATTATCCGGACTTTTAAGTCCGAACCGTTAAAAGTCCGATGTTTAATCGGGCTAGCACGGCCGGGTAGCGGGTAGTCCGCTTAGTTTTTTTAATGAATTTTAGACCTTATTGTTAATTTAATTTGTAAAACTTAATGTTATTATTGAGAATTTTACTTTGTTTTAAATCCTTCTTCAAATGAAAAAAGACAAACAATGCACCAAGGGAAATGTTATAAGTTATATTTTGGTGTGCACAACATTATTATCATTTTCTAAGTGAAATGAAATGTCATACTTATGCATTTTCTATGTGAAATGTCATACTGTTGTAATTTGACGCTATAATAAAATTAGAGTATGATGTGTACAATATACTAATAGTATTATATTATTTTTTAAATAAAACACTCACTTTTTAATTTAAAAAAAACAAAATTATAAATATAAACCGGGCCGGCCTGAAAAATCGTAGCCCGTGAAGGACCGGGCTTGGTCAATCAAATTGTGGCCCGTTTATAATCCGGGCTTTTTAGCCCGACCCGAACAAAGCCCGAACCCGTCATGGGTCAGCCCGTCACGGGCCGGGTAACCCGTTTTGCCAGCTCTACTTCAAACACTACAAAACTTTTCTAAAAACATTATTCAAAATCATCTAAACCTAAAAATGCAAAACACAAATAATAAGGTTAGTCTCAAATCAAGTTTAATATTCAACACTAAGGCCCCACCCTCTACCAATGCAATTACACACCATGGTTACAATGCCATAAATAACAACCGATTAGTAGGGCGAGGATTGCCCCCACATGTAAACTATATTTAGGTCATATATTATCTGATGTAGATTCTTAACACATCCTCCTACGTTCAGAATTTGCATATGGAGCGTGGAACTAAATGGCAGGTGGTCCAATGAATCTTTAATGTGGTCCAATGAATCTTTAACGAGACTTTGATATTATCTTAAGAATGTGTGGTAGACCCTAATTCAACCGTACAAAACCGATTAGTAGAATAAGAATTACTGCCACTTATAAATAGATGTTCAAGTCATAAATTGTCCGATTTGAGATACTTAACAACTTTTTTATTCATACTTTGAGAGATTAAAATAATTATATATTTTATCAGTGAATCAAAGATTTAAGTAGTGCTGCTCATAAAATCTCTCAGTTACATAAGGTATAAACGTATGATCAAAAGGTCGGAGATTAAAAAATTCATTAAACAGTTACAGCAAGAAATTCAAATGCATGGATTAAGTTGTTCTAACGTGAAATCTATAGAGAAAAACATAACTTTGTCCTTCCTCCATCATTAATTCAGTACTATATCCTAGTTACTCAAATAAATTCAACAGGAAAGCTAGTTATACTAGAAACTATGTATGGCATCCTCTGCCAATGCAATTAAACAGCATGGCGACCGTGTCATGCCTGATTGCTACAAATGTATAATTTTGGATTGCTAGTACCCTCCTGCTCTTGTTTGTATGGAAAGCTAAGTGAAAAAATCAAGGTTCTAGGAACTTGATAAAAATTGTTTAATAGATTTTGAATCGGCAGAGAGCACAAAGATGGTTGATAGGAAAAATCAGCATCACAACAACTTCAAGTAAAGGTGATCGATGGAAAATTGACATCACACTGGTTTCAAGTCAAGGTGGAAAATATTGAAGTATTTCATAAAACTTTAAGTAATGAAGAGAACAAAAATATGTTTTGAGATTGCAAAAACTAGAAATCACACTGGAGGGGGTCTAGCTAGCGATTCAATCTATCAAATGGTGTGTACGTTTTTCTCTATTCACGTGTATCAAGATTCGTTGATTTGCTTCGTGAAATCGATTGTTAATAGGTTATGTTCTAGTTTGTTATGGATCCGTTGAGTTTCAATAATTATAAACAGACAACTCTATCAGGAGAAGTGGTTCAATGTGGCTCATGAACTTTGGAATAGTAAAAAGCTATCGGAGATATTTTCTTAAATCCTATTTCGTTAACTTAACAGTGGATCTCATGTACTTTAATGCGTGTCTACTACTACAAATGACAAACTTTTCATCTCAGTTTTTGTAAAACCGATGTATAATTCTTGGACGCACCCTTTTTTTTAATAAAAAATATACTCATTATATTTCGTTGGTTATTCTAAAAATCGATGGGTTAACTTATTCAGTATACATGCTTCGAATTCCATCCATTTCAATTTATATTTGTATCTCATTAAAAGTGGCATCTTTTTGAATATTTAATTTTGAATCTTAAAATACGTACTTTTCATCTCAATTTTCTTTTCAACCGAGATAAAAACTTTTCTATAATATATATAGTTTTACCTAGTAGCACCTTATTGAATATTTTATTTTTAATCATTTTCTTTTACTTCTTAGATTTAGTACATCAAAAATCATTACTAATATTATTGTTTGATCTTAAATACCAACAACCTATTTACATTTTGAAACCATTGATTAATGATGATATGGTGAAGATCAATAAATGCATCAAGCAGTTACATCAAGAAAATAGAACTCGCCTGTCAGGTAGGTAATTAAGGGGTTTCCAAATGAGAGACAAACATAACTTTGTCCTTCCTCCATCATTAACTCAATACTATATCCTATTTACACTAAAGTCAGGTTTTCAGAGAGACCAAAACTTAGTTGTCTCTACTATATATCCACCATGCCTCTAAGGATACACTGACACTCGTAAAAAGTTGCAATAAATAAATATACACAACCGAACATATAGTTGCTCAAATAAATTCAACAGAAAAGTTATTGTATAGGCTCATTGATAGGAACATATCTACCAGAAATTACAAAATTATTAATGGCACTATGGAAGGGTGCTCTAAGGCCCCATCCTCTGCCAATGCAATTAAACACCATGGCGACCATGTCATACCTGATTGCTACAAATGTATAATTTTGGATTGGTGGTACCCTCCTGCTCTTGCTTGTATGGAAAGCTAACCTTATGCTTATATCCTAGAAACTAATA